TCCCCGAACCTCCCCGAGCCTCCCCGAGCCTCCCTGAGCCTCCCCGAGCCTCCCCGAGCCTCCCGGAGCCTCCCTGAGCCTCACCAGGGACTTCCGCCCGGGCTCGCAGACACCAGGCTCGCAGACACCCACTGGGTCTAGGGCACAGATATGCCTGTGGCTGCGGTGATTCTTGAAGACCATTGTCCTGGCAACAACCTGAAATTCTTCACCAGGAATTTCAAATCCTCGCCTATATTTACTTATTTTCTTTTTATTGAAGGTATTGCGGTGACACTCTTGTCTATATTTAGTGCCAATTAAGTATTTTTTTCCTTCTGTATTTCTTCCTATGCAGAGTAGGTTGTCTGGCTTTGGGGCAGAGAGAGGGAGGGAGGAAAGGTGAAAAAGGAGAAGAAAGAGGAGGAAGAAGGAGGGAGGAGGGGCAGGGAGAAGAGGTGGAGGAGGGGAGGGAGAAGGGGAGAGAGCAGAGACAGATGGAGGGCGGGAGAGAGAGAGAGGATGAGAAGGAAGAGATGGAGCAGGAGGAGGAGGAGGAGGAGGAGGAGAAGGAAGGATATGAGAAGTTGGAAGGGGACGAGAGGAGGAGGAGCTGGGACAGTGGAGCCAGGGAGAGGGGAGGAGGAGGGAGGAGGGAGTAAGAGGAGGCCTGGCTGTGGTTATAAACCGTGAGGGTGAGCTGGGCGCCCCAGTCCAGCCGGAGGAGGAGCATGGGAGGACGGCGTGCGGGGCTCCTGCTGGCGTGGGCCTGTGGGCTCCTCAGTGCCATCAGCACCGAAGGTGAGGAGTTTGGGACGGTGTGTGGGGCTGGGCACAGGTGCCTGGGCCACCAAGTCCGGGTCCCAGGAGGGCGAGGCTCACCCTTATGTCTTGGGCTCTGAGAAGGAGAAAGATGCTCTCTACATTGTCCAGTTCACACACAGGTCCCACTGCTGGGCTTCAAAACAAAACCAAACCAAACAAAATAAAACATAAAAGGGGCTCAAGTAACAAACACGAAAGACCGGGAATGTCAGCTGGAAAGTTCTACTGACATAAGCGGTGCCTCCCTCCATCCCAGTCTGTGTGAAATGCCTCCTGTAGGGGTTTGGAAGGAGACGAAGGTTTGGGACGCCTGTCTCGTTCTTTTACCAACCATGTCACCTTCTAAACGATCATTTGACGACAGAGGAAGAGATTTCGTGGCGGATGCATTTCCCAGGAATGTGGCGCGGGTTACCCAGAGCTGCCAAAGCCGTTTTTTTATGGGATGGCCAGGGACCAGGATCTTCCATGCACAACTTGAAACATCAATGATGAGAGAGAATCACTGATCGGCTGCCTCCTGCACGCCCCCCTACTGGGGATCGAGCCCGAAATCAGGGCATGTGCCCTTGATTGGAATCGAACCTGGGACCTTTTCGTCCACAGGCGGACGCTCTATCCACTGAGCCAAACCGGCCAGGGCACATGCACGACTGTAAATATTTCCAGGCCATCTTTGCAGAAGAGGAAATCAAACACGGGGGTTGATAAACGTCTAAAAAAACCCCAAAACAACCAGAAAAAACCGCTCTATCCACTGAGCCAACCCGGCCAGGGTGCATGCAGGACTGTAAACATTTCCAGGCCATCTTTGCAGAAAATGAAATCAAACACAGGGGTTGAAAAACGTCTAAAAACCCTCCCAAAACAACCAGAAAAAAAGAAAAGATGTTCTTCAGTGAGCTTTGATTGCTGCTTGCTTATCGGTTGGATGTTTTATTTCATGCCAATTGAAAAAGAGCCGTTTTTGACCTAGACA